TCAGCAGTGCTACTCCATATCACTGCAATTAGGGTCAATGCAACATCTTATTGTATGCATCTCTAATTATCTGCAGTACGATGAGAGGACATATGTGGAGGGGTCATATGAGCATTCACATGCATGGGTATGTAGAAACTAGTGCCTACATTACTCCTTGTGTGGCTCTTGACCACCTTGAAATGGTCCACCCTGTGCTTTTAGTTTGAAATAGGAGTATCAATGTTCCAGTACTTCCTGGATGGTAGAATTTGAAATCCCTGAAAACATTTCCTTCTTCAGTTTCCCTTTGTTGTGGAAAGAACTGTTTCTTTCTAAACATTGTGGCAGTTCCTTTTTACTTTCCATGCATAAAGCTCAGAGGGAACAAAGAAATTCTTTTAGAAAAGAATGTGAGCGTATGGACTCAATAAGCAGCAAGAAGATAGTCCACTTAGTGGGAAAAGTTTGGAAGGATCTTTCACAAGGAGAAGAATGGATGGTGGTCCCTTTTTAAAGAAATGGGTTTTAGAAAAGAGTCAGGATAAGAGAATGACATAAAGGAAATCTGCTATGTAGCAGCGCCCATTGGATCCATTGCTAAGAGAAACACATGAGTTTTCAAGGAGAGAGAAAAAACTTTTTTCTGCACTGAAAGAAACAGGTACATTAAAGAAAAAGGGGGGAAAGGTATCCTACATGAAATAATTTCAGTACTGTCAGTGTGAGGCATTGTCTGTCCATCTACTGATGAAAGGAATTGCCATGCTTGTGGTTTTGTTAAAATTAAAGGTGTTGGTTCAAAAACAAACAAAGCTGATATACAAGAAGCTGCACATGTGGGCTGCTGCATGCATACTTGGGACAGAGCCTCAGTCTTCCAAATCTATTATTATAAGCACTGGCTGTGATTCAGCAAAAGGTAAGATCTCACTGCTCAGCTGGTTGATAGGATAGGGGTGCACGGGACACCTTGTCAGCAGTTAATTGGTAAGATTGTGGTATTTATTGCTGGGAGATCATTGATGTTTGTAGTTCCTCTTTTAATCAGTCCCCTCATTGGGAGAAAGGCGGCTTACAAATGACACAAAATAAATGAGAGATACATATGTAAGACAACATGGATAAGAAGTAAGGGTGTTAAATATGCAAAAATGTTAATCCATAAGTTCTTCTGCCTTTTTGAAATATCTTAAAATTCTGCATGAACATTAAGTCTGCTCTCAGACTGATGGACAATATTGTGTATAATAGTGACAGATCTGCAGCTAATGGCTAGTATTGAGGTGGCAGAATCCATAGCGCTAATGGGCCACTGTGCATGCAGTTCTGACTTTAGAGGAGCTGTATGAACCCATATCCAACTAGAAGCCCCATGTGCAGTGCTATACAGTGTAAGAATTGGATGACTGGAAGCTTTAATTCAGCCAGTTCTGACTAGGATGATAACCCTGTGTCTTGAAAGCACCCCTTTGAATTACAAAGATGTTGTCACATAACTGAATCCTTCTCCACTGAAAAAATATGACATATTACCAGAAAATCAGCATGAAGAATAGAGATGTACCATTTGGATTTTCTGAATTTCATCTCCCAGAATTTTCCAAACATTTCTTGAGGAGAATTCTGCGAGTTCAAAGCCATAAACTTACACCTTCCAACACCTATCTTTTGCTCACTGGTGCAGGGCCTAGTTGTCAGAGGCTGCATGGCATTCCAGGCCTTCGTTTTCTTCTGCAATGCTTCCTAGGAGGAAGCCCCCACAATGATAATCCTGGCACCTCCCAAAGAACCACAAGGAAGCATAGTGGCAGGAAATGAAGGCCCTAGAAGGTCATACAGCCTGTGACCTGTTCCAGGAGAGTGAACTATGGGTGTCTGAAGGTGTGGGTTTGTGGGCTGGAACTCTCAAGATTCTGCCTGGAGATCCTTGGAGAATTCTGGAAAATTGAGTCCATAAATTCCAAATGGTGTATGTTTGCTATCTAGTCTGACTCCCACATATTAGGTATAGTAAGAAAAAGAATATGCAAGGATTCACTTTAAACTTGCACTGCTCACACACACAGAGACAGATGTGCCATTAGAAATTATCACTGGCATGTAAACGGAAGTAATGATATATCTCCGTATAGTGTAGAAAGCTGTGATAGATTGGCTTGTTTGCCTGCTGAATCTGCACTCAAATGTTTACTCCTAAGAGGTAACTTAACTTTTTGCTCTTCTTGGTTGCAGTTCTTTCTCTTTAAACTAGGCATGAATTGAACAAGCATTCAACTAGCTTCTTCACCAGTTTTTTGATAGACCTCCAAGTAAATGGCGGTCATCTGTAGAGTACATAACCACCCTACAACTGAAGTTTTTATACATTCAGTTCATCTGGTAAAACATTACTCTATGATGCCCCATCTTTTTCGGAAGTGAAATCTGTTAGGCCTTAAAGCAACGTCTTCTCAGTAGTGATGCCTTTGTTATAGATGAATCCTGCTAGACTTCTTGCCATATAATATTTCTCCCACAGTGTTTATATTTATGAAGATTTTAAATTAAATATCTGATCTCTTGTTTCTGCTAGGGTCTGGTCTATATATCAACTTGGGAAAACATGGTATGTAAGGGGTGAAAACAGAACTAATGCCCGACTGCGCATGTCACTGAGATAGCTCTTAATTGCTCCTTCTGTCATTGGATTCCATAATTTTATTGGCTGAACAATGGTTGCTTTCTCTGGAGAGGCCTCTCTGAATTTAAAAAAGGAGCCTAGTGTATTGAGCATAAATCAGATGGCATACTTCTCCATCTCTGTTTTTTTGTCTGAGGATAGAACACAGCAGACGAGTCCTTGTTTTTTGCTTGTTTCCTGCTTGCAAATAAAGGTAACATTCTGCAAGACAAAACACACTGTGCCATCTTAAAGATGAATTTGTTAAGGCATCATGGTTCCATTCTTCTAGCAAACAATTCTTTATAGTTCTTTTTCTTTATCACATTTAAAGGTCAATGTGTAAAGTTGACAGTTCTTCAGTTTATAAGAGAAAGCAAAATTCTGCAGCTCAGTAGTATCCCTAGTAAAGTATTTATCCCAGATTCTTTATCCACATTTACAAATGGACATGATTTGTTTCATTATAAGGAGAAATGGAGGAAAGATTCTTCCAAGTGCTGTCATAGGGGCTGCAATATTATTTTCTGTAACTACACGATTGTAATCTGTGTTGGTTTCCAGCCTGTTCTTTAGCACTTTTAACATTTTTGTTTTAATGTCTTCTTGGCTTAGTGCTGCACTGCCTTAGTGTTTTATTGGATTAGTTTTTTGTATTTTTTTAACATAGTACTTATTTAGAACTTCATTGTTTTGGCACTTTGCTACTGCTTTCTTTTACTGTTTTTGGTATCTGATACTGTTTATGTATTTTAATCTGCTTTGTTATTTTGTTAATCAGACAGCACTATTATTATTATGTGTCTTAGGCAGGGAGATCATTGAGAGTGGAGAGGTGATGTACTCTTCTCTTAGTCATGAGCAGAGGAACACATGGCTATGGCCCTGGATAAGCTTGTTGAAAGAAAATAAGTCATCTGCCCCTCTTCTCTTAATTGGGAAATTTTGAGCCTCCCTCTTGGATTTGTGATGTTGCTTTTGAATGCTTGAATGGCTGAGCGTATCACATCTACTGTCCAAAATGTAGTTGTGGCTCACAGGGTCAACCTGTTTATTTGAGGGCAAATAAACTGAACTGACAAGGCAGCAACTCTGTGGGTATAGGTCCCAGATTTGGGAAGAGGTCAAATTGGTCACTGCAGAGGCCAATTCAAGGCACTGGCAAGTTAACTTTAAAATCCTAAACGCTTAATCCTGAATATTTGAAAGACGACCTGCTCCCATAATGAACAAAACAGATTAGTAATTCTTTCACCCTCTTCTGTCCATTAAAAAGTGCAGGTAACAGAAAAAAGGCTGGTCTCTCCAGTGGTGCCTCTCCTATTAAGCACCCTGACAAATGAGACATGTCTGGCACCAATATTTATCCCCTTTGGTGCTAGAGTAAAACCTACATATATGCCATTCTGATGTCGAAATTTTAGGTATATAAATAAGTTTTTGGATGGAAGTGCAGTTTGTAAATTCTTAAAATAGAATAAATGAATAAAGTATGTGGCATGTTAAACAGAATATGCAAAGGCCAACCGTTGGTGAGCAAAGCAACAGCCAGAACCTGCATGTTCAGAGGATAAGAATTCATTTATTTATTTATTTTATTTATATCCCACCTATCTGGTCGGGTCAGGACCACTCTAGGCGGCTAACAATCATAAAAATACAATGAAAATTTATAAACAGTTTAAATAATAAAAGCAATACACAGAGAGAAAAACAATAAAATGAGTAAAAAAGAAGAGGAAAGGTGTCAGGAATTATTTGATGGGAAGGCCTGCCGAAACATCCATGTCTTTAATTTAATTTAATTTAATTTAATGAAGAGATGAATGCCTGAGGAATACCCTGAGAAGGGCGAGAAAGAAAGGAAAAGACAGTCTTGCCTGGGTTTTCTCCTTCTTTCACCTTAATCATAGTTCTTGACCAGCTGTTCTGTCGCTGGATGGTGACCCTCATCTCTGCTGAACAGGAGAACAACTTAGTGAATGGAAGTAACTCTGTATGGGTGCTACAATTGTTCTTGCCATCATGACCAAAAAATGTTCCTTAGCAAGTTAACATTTCCCACCAATTAAAAAAATGCGTATCCACACAGGTCCCTGTAGACATCTTTGGTTCATAACAGTGATAGGAGTGCAACTTCCTTTAAAATATTTTAGTCGCTCAGGAAGTATTGTAGCACTTGAGCCATAGAAGATTGAGGTAGCCTTGCTAGATTTCAGATTGTTAATTGGAAATGTACTATCATTACTAAGGGAAATATGCTTTCATCACTTTTATCTTTTAGAGGGGAGTTATCTTCAATATTAATACAGGAAAGGTTTTTTTTCCCCAACTGTTTTTCTTACCTTTTGTATTTCAGATGGAAGACTTTATTTGAAAACTTCTGTCATGTACTGAACCTGGTCAGCTGAAGAAATATGTGCTACAGTTCAAAGAACTCTGCAGGAAAGACATTCACCATATTGGAAGTTCTGCAAAAACAAAGGTGCTTTCCAGTCAACTTGGGCCACTTCATGTATTTGTACAAAGGTTCTGAGCTTTCTGCAAGAGCGTCCTCCACCCTAGGGTTCCTCCCTGTGTTGCAGAGAATGGTTCTACCACTTATGTAGCACTCCTCTTAACAGCCAGCAAGTGAGAATTGTGCTGTTGGACACTTCTTTGTACAGACCAGCCAGAGAAAGACCTTCCATTCCCTTTTCAAAGGAATGAAAACTGTGTCCTCCTCTGATTTTGTGAGCACATCAAGCAAACCTTCCACAGTGTCCACTTCTGTACTGAATGACTAGAATATCATATATAAACCAGCGAGACAGTAGAGAAGTTCAGATTTCTAAAAGAGGCCTAAGAAGATTCCTTAAAGAACACATACAAAAAGAGAGAGAATAGAAGTAGACAATTCAAAAAGCCAGTGTTTTTCCCCAGATACTAAAGAATTCTTGTTTCCCTTAAAGACATATTTTTCCAGATATGAAGAAGCCAATGGTACATTAAGGAAGTCAAAACAAATTTATGTTGGGGAAAAATAAGTACAGAATTTAAACAAGATGACATTACTGTCTTCAGTAGTCTCTTTCTTGGAATAAATACAATTAACCATCTCATATAATTTCTCATTCTAAACTGACAGCAGTTTGGGAAGGGGAGTGATGAGACAATGTTGCTTCTTACTGAACCTGTTGGTCAGATGTACAGTATATAACCACAAACCACACACAGAAGGTATTATGTATGCAGTAGAATACTAGCTTTTAGGAAAACAACAATTTTAGATAATATGTTTTGTCACCCTGTTGGTCCAAATGACACCTTTCTAATTTTAAAGCATGCAGGCATGTAAATATTTGTCCTGAAGTCACAGTATTAATGAACAGGATCTTACGCATTTGGGGATGACAGCCACTTTTATTTGTATATTGGTCAGTGCTGTGAAACAGCACTTTTAAGAGTGGATTGTGGCTCACAAGCAAGTCAACCCGCCAGAAATATTTTTATATGTTAATGTCATATTACTTCAACGTTGCTGAAGAGGGGGGAAAAACCCTGAAGGCTAAACAGACACTTGATGTATCAGTCCAATACCATGTAGATCTGAGTGATAAAGTTGAAGTCTTTTGTCCTTCCAACCTGCCTTGTCTTATGCAAGGCTGGTTTTGTGTTATTTTTGCTGTCTTTATAAATGCTATGATATCTGTTCTCCACTTTTGTGCTCATAACCGGAAGCAAGCTGCAACACAGTGCTTATTACATTTTCAATTCTCTTCTTTGCCGTGCATATTTCTCCAGGTAACCCATTTAAAGACTACTTTGAAGATAAACATTATCATATATGATTATGCTTCCTTCACAGGTAATGTTTTATACGTTTGTGATATGCATTGTTGTATGGAAATATAATCAGACCTGTAAACCCTAAACATCTTCCACCTTTAGTAATTCTGATGGTCAAAATAATATCTGTGTCCAAATTGAAATAATTCTATTTTTAAAAGTCAAGATCTCAGTGTTCACATTCCGCGTCCCCAATCACAGTATTTCAGAGTTGAATTTATTCATGGCCCACCATGATTTTAAATCTAGAAATGTGTTTAAAAGTTTCATCTCACAGAATTAAAAAAAGAAACTTTAGGAAGTTATTATTCCCTGAAACTTTGTAGCAGACTTCTTCTTCTTCTTCTTCTTCTTCTTCTTCTTCTTCTTCTTGAAATGTGCTAAATGCTCCAGAAAATCCATATTCCTTTTCAGTGCAGTCTTTAATGGGTTAACAGCTGTCATTAGATGAACTTTGTGGCAAACTGCTAAATTATTTAAATGAGAGGAGAATTTTTAAAAATTAAAATTGAACTAAAATGAAATCTACAGTAGTATCTACCATTGCTCTTGCTCCTTGCAGAGAATCACCTGTAAGTATGTTAATCGTTTTTACAGTGTATACTTTCCATACTCTTTGGGTATGCATCTTTGTTTGGTTTGGTACATACGTAAATGGAAATGCTGAGAATAATGAGGAAAAGTATATCTTATTAAAACAAGTGTAAATATTACGTTCATGAAATGCTACCGTATGATGAATTTGGGTTTCTTTGTTCTCCTTAGTTACACAAAAAGTTTTTTCCCTCTGCCTAGATTATGAAGAAATGTGTTTATGTTATTGTTTAAATGCTTTTTGTAATCTTAAAGATATTAATGTCTAGTTGTTCTATATTATAACCACCTTTGCGCTCTATGCAAACCCTCGGAACAGAACATTCTCATCTTCATGTAGGACCTATGAAAATTGTCTATTTTTATCTATATATTTAAAGTTTTCTAAAAATGAGAAAAAAGGTTATTATGAATTTTGTTGTACAAAATCTGTACAAAAAATCTGTTTTTACATCATAATGCAAGAATTGGAAAATTTTTCTATGGTAGCCTAGTTATTTGAGCCTGGTTTCAATGTGAGAACCACGTTTACTGGTATTGTATTTAATTTTCTTTTTTTTTTCCTCCTCCTTTTCAACAATCTGCTAATAAAACTGTCTGAAATCTGCCTGTGACTTTATTTACAGTTCATCTTTATTAAATTTTGTGAAATGCGTTACATCAGAGGAATATTTACTTTCTAATGGGAGGCATCTTAAAACAACATAAGTCAGCTCTTTGCAATGCAAGGAGAACAATGCTGAATGATTTTATTTAACATGCAACTGCTCCTACCTCTAATATGAATTACTGTAGTGAAGGGGGGGGAACATAATAAAAGTGCACTCTGTGGTTATTGTTTAACAAGCAGATTTTCCATATTTTGTTTCTTGCCAGCTAAGCAAACTGCCCCCATCTGCATGATTTATTTATGTACATTTCTCAGTTTATGAAGCTGTTATTTGTACCTTTTCCCCCTTTATATTGTGATATTCCCAAGATTCTTATTTTACAAAGCTTTGTGCTGAATAATGTAAAATGGACACATTGATGAAACAAAACATGTTATTTCCATAACTACAAGAGTGTGGACGGTTTCTTGCTGTAACCCACTTCTTTGCACTTAGAGTCTTTCCCACCCACCCACTTCATCCCCAGTTTTCTTTGACAAACCGCCTTCTTAGGTTCTCTAAGTATTTAGAAAGTTTTTAGATCTTAATGCATTTTCTCACTTAACACTTTAAGCATTAAAAAGGGATTTCAAAACAACATAGCACTACAAGTTTTAAAAAATGCTGTGTGAATGATGGATCTCATTTTCAGAAGAATCATCTCCCACTTTAAAGGGATTTCTTTTTAAAACATTGTATAGTAAAATATGGCATTCTTCCTCTTGTTCAAATATTTCTGTAAATGTTACTGTTTGTTTCTCTTTTGCTAGTTTGTTGTCAGAATATTGTAAGATCTCTGAAACCGAATACCTGTTTTTCAACACTCTAAGTGGTGTGCTTGATAAAGAAGAACCCCATATAAGGGCATCAACAAGGCCATTTCAGAAGTTACATTCGTCCTTCATGGAGCCATTATCCATGTAGGAAAATATGTTTTTACCATAACATTTTACCATAATTCCTGATGCATTGTATCGTATAGTGAGAATGCTAACATGTGTAAAGCTGCCTTACTTTCATGACAGGTCACTTATATCTGAAAATTCAGAAAGTTAGAGTAGCTTTCTTCATTGCCCTCCCAACCCTGGAATAAAGACGAGAGACAAGAATTACGGGTTCAAACATGGGCCACATTTTATTAATCATAATCAATGTTGCCATCCTTTGGCAAAGGGGGGCCTGCTGTACTGCGGAATCAGGTTAAATCGCAGAGGTCTCAAAGTACCCCCTAAGCTACAAATGGTCGAGTCCCCAGAACCCGGCCAGCTGCAATTTGACCACCCCCGGACCTCAAGCCAGGTTTTACTTGTTGACTGTTGATCCGGTTGTAGCCTAGCGCATCTTTCCCCCTAAGCACTGTAATCGCATGGTCCACAACGCTGGGAGGTCATATGGGCTATATTTTACCTGAGTTTGCCATGGGGCTCACCAGAAAAACCCGTTATATCCGCACTACCCGCCACAGCATAGGGACTAGCCATGCTAAGTCCCATGCCCGCCATTGAGCCGATCAAGCTCAACAAGCAGGCTCCCCTTGATATCTTCAAGGAAGATATTCGAAACCAAATCGGACAGATGTGCAACATTTTTCCGAAAAAACTCAGGCCTATCCAAGCGGATTCTCTGTTGACCAATCACTGATTCAAGGCTGCTGCAGATCGCTCTGCAGACCTCCTGGTTAACACTCCTGCATGCTGTGTTAACGGAGAAAAAATTCCTGGCATCCCTCCATGCCAATCGAGGGAGGATTGTCGACCACACAATAAGCATGGCTGGATATGTGGCCTTCAACCATTTCAGGCTGCGCAAAATGTCCAGAATCAATGCCTTTCCACAATACCTGGCCAAATCATTGCCACCAAGATGTATTACCAATAAATTTGGTTGAAATCGGCCAAATGCCACTGCCCGGCATAGCTGGCTCCACAGCATGCCGCACAGCCATCTCCAAACAACATGAGGTCTGTCTCCAAGGCCCAGGTCACTCCTCCAAGGGGATGCAGCCACATATTTCACTGCCCAATAAACATAACTGTGGCCCAAATTCAACATGCCGCCTCACCATCACCACAAGACCTCCAGAGATAGAACAAAACCAGGCCCCTGCCTAGACATTAGGAAGTGTCCTGATGGTTTTTGTCCCCTAACCTCTGAGTATGCAATTGTGGCTTTCACAGGGCAGATGCTTTCTATATGACAATGAGCTAGTGTAAGTTGGGCACCCTTACCTAGTTGATCAGCCTTGGATCATTGAATATGAATTTGAACCGTCCCGTCAACAACTCTTAACATCCTGCCATTGCAGAGCTACTCTAGTCTTGTCAGCCTTTCCAGCAGCAACTACCTAATTCTGAGGTCAACAGAATCCCGAAAAAGGTCAACAAAGACGCCACTTACAAAGACGAGTCTCATACTCATTCCTACACAAAAACTCTCACTGCCTACAGATGCATTATAACAGTAGAGGTAATATGGGAGCCCTGTTGTCCTGAACTCTACTCATTTCTTTGGAACAACCTTCAATCATGTTCCTAATGCGGTAATCCGAAGAATAATCCTGATAGCCGTTAACCCTAGCATAGAACACAAATGCTGACAATCTACCCTGTATAGTTCCAGGCGCCAATCCCCTTCTATTCAAATACATGATAAATTGCTTCAGGTGATCCACTGGCACCAGCCAAACCGGCTCCAGGTTGACCAGCTTCCTAAAATCATGGAACACTGTACTCACAGCCAAGTACCCTTTCTGTGTCCTCAGTGCCAGAGCCAAGCCTATTGCTCTTTCCGCGTCTTCACACCAATTTGCCAGACCTCTGGAGGCAGAATTTCTGCGAACATTTTGGTTCCGGGATCTAGCTCCCAGAACAGCTCGATCTGTTGGTGAGACAATGCATCAGCTACTCTATTTTCTATACCTGGTACATGTCGGGCCTGCACTAAGATATTGAGCCGCAGGGCCTGTAAAGTGAATGCCCTAACTAATGTTGTGACTTGTTCTGAATGCAAAGTAAGATTGTTTGTTTGTTTGTTTGTTTGCTTGTTTGTTTATTTATTTATTTATTTATTTATTTATTTATTTATTTATTTATATC